GATAGGTAGTTAGTTGCCTACTCAATACCCCCACACGAAGCCCAAGCAGCGAGAAAATGGCATGTCATAAGTAGGCAGGAAAGAGAACAGAGTCGCGTCGAGATGCACGGCGTAAATGAAGATCGACGTCTAGATTAACTGTCTGCGCGGGTAACCTATCTATGAAGCTTATCCTCCGGCAGCTCTGGATCTCGCTATATTATCCCACCGACCCTGGCATATATTAGGTACCTCTCGATCGTTCGTTGGTCTGAAGTATATATTACATAGGAGGTATGTATGTATGTATATACAATGCAGCGCTGGGAGTTCTGCCGAGGGAAATAAGGGGGAGGGGGGAACAATAAGCGCTCTATCGCTCTCTAGAACACTCCAGCCTGCTCTACTTTACTCTACTTGGCCTACCTTTGGATAGGTAGGTAGTTGCCTCTGTCACGTAGCAAACCAGGGTGGCGTGTCTATAAGTTGGGATAGGGGATATATTCAGTTTAACCGGGAGGCTGGAAGCGGCGTTGCAGCGGACGTCCGCCAAACTACTTTATGTATTCGGGGTCGTAATATAAGTGCGGCGCTATCTAGGTACTTAAGTATCTCGTCTACTCATCGTTGACTGGATATTTATATACCTCGAGGTAGGCATATAAGTGAATCGCCAGCTCATACGGATGGCAGAAAAGAAAGCAAGTCTCAATGAGAGAACATATGTTTACCTTAAACACAGAGCGAGCAAGTAGATGAAGCCATCAGGAAAATCCACTTATGACGGATATGCTGCGGAAAAGGTAACCATGACGTTGGGCGATGGTCACCTATTTGCTTTAGGCAATTAAGAATCAATTCTGTTGGGACAGGGGTTGTCTAGACACAAGCAGGCAGGCATCTTAAGAAATACCACTTAATCTCGGCCTTGGCATTTGATATTGTATAATACTCCTCAGTGACCGGTTGTGTCGTAACGTCTTGCTACGCAACCCCTATCTTCCCATAGGACTGATCATTACCGTGGAGAGATATCAGCAGACGCTCCTGTGAATACCGTCCGCCAGTCGCGCCGCCTTCCCCTCAAGCACCTTAGCCGACTCCTGCGAAAGACTCCCTTTACTGGCGTCCGTGCGTGGCCGGCTATCTCCCGTCGGCCTCTGCTTCTGGAGGATCGACAGGTCAACCTCGTCGTTGTCGATCAGGGTCTGTGTCACAGACACCAAGTCCGCAATCAGGCGGTCCAGGAGATCCAGGCTCATGGATTCGCGGATGACTATACGTAAGATTTCAATCTTATCCTCGTTGGGCGGAAGCGCGTAGTTGGGTATTATCCACTGGCGCGCGCGCATGAGTAGCGATACCCATTCCTGCTTGATGTGTGGGAACTCCCGCTTGAACTCGTCTGTTAGTCGGAACGACACAACTGGTAGCCCAGCCACGTAGTCCGCTGAGGTTTCCCCCTCCTCGCCGAGGACCGCGTGTTTCGCGCCCGAGACCACACTAGATGCGACGGACGCTCGACGATGGATATCAGACACGCATGTGTACCAGCCGGTTGCCTCGAGGCTCTTAGACAGGAGGCGCGCGTTGCGGAGACAGTTCTCCATAATCTCGCGGTACCCGTCGAAGCCGAGGTGAATTAGATTGTAGTACTGCACGATGATTTGCGCGCCAGGCCGGGAAAAGTTCAGTGTGAAAGACTTCTCGGTGCCGCCTAGATAATGTAGTTCAAAAATTAGATGCTGCGGTAGGTAAGCTTCGTCCCGCCAGACGATCCAACCGACGCCAGCGTAGACGAGACCGTATTTATGGCCCGACACGTTGATGGACTTGACTCGCGGAAGCTCGAAATTCCTGGACGCGGATATCAGCAGGACGTTTTTATAAGGGACCTTTGGAGTTTCACTCACCACTTCGGCCCGCCGGCTTGTGCATGAGTGAAGGGCGCAACGAACCCTCCAGATGCCGCATCCACATGAATCGGGATGTCAATTCCCGTCTCCTCCTGGTACTCGTCGAGGATCTTGGAGATCTCTTCCACCGGTTCATAGTGGCCGGTATAAGTGCTTCCTAGAATGGCGAACACGCCAATCGTGTTCTCATCGATATTCTTCCGAACGAGGTTCGGGTCCAATCGATAGTTACTATCCTTAGAAACCGGGAGAATACGCGCCTCGACGTCGAAGTAGCGCGCGAACTTCTCGAGGGCGACCTGTGCGTTGGTACCCATGATGATATTTGGGTTAGAAGTGTCCAAGCCTTTTGCCTTGCGATGTTCCTGCCAACGACGCTTCATTGCCAAGCCTCCGAGGTGAATAGCCTCTGAGGAGCCAGTGGTCGCTGTCCCAACTGCTTTCTCGCTCTTCTTAGCTCCCCAGAGGTTGGCAAGGATGCTAACACAGCGCTCATGAAGAGACATCATCGCCGGATATTCGTCATTGTCAGCCAGATTCTTGGATAAATTCTCCGTCATCAGCTGGATGGCGTTTGGTTCCATGTAAGTCCCTACGAAGCTACGGACCAGGGAGTACTAGTTAAGCATTTCTGATACTCGAGACCAGTGAGAGAGGCAGCAAGCACTTACCTGGCAAGGTTCAGATTTGGTTTGCCATCCAGGTCCAGTTCATCATGGATTAGTTGGTATACAGTATCTGCTGGTGTTCCCTCCTTGGGGAGTTTATACTTGGGCGCTCCCGACTCGCTTGCATATTTGGTACCGTAAGGTGTTAGATGAGAAGTGGCCATCGTCTGGCGCACCCGTCGGCCATTCTCGGTGAGGTTGGCGTCATGGAGGCTCTCGACAAGCTCTTCCGGATCGATCTAGAAGATAGTTAGTCTAGTTAATGGTATTATTTATGAGAATTCACTTTTACTGACATGTCGAGCTAAAGACATAGTATGGGTAGTAAGTAACCTGTACTCGTAGTTGATAATAAGCTCGAGGAACTAAAAGCCAAGACTTTCTTCGTGGGTCTCAATTTATATGCAGCAGGAATTGTTTACTTACTACCTACTAACCTAAGGTACTAAAGTCTAAAGAAAGTAACCCAACTTCTGATATGACTTGACTGTTGCTCACTTTTACCATTGTTGAAGACTTAGAGTAGGTAGAACCGTTGGTTTAATTGGAAAGTTGGACACCTCTATGACGAAGATGACGTAATTACTCCTTAAAAAGCCAAGTTCGCTCATTCTATCGGAGGTCCTCCGGATTGTGAGTCCGGCGCACTTCTACTGCTTCCATAAAGCCTAGGTTATATCTTTGCCGCGTGTTCAGAATATATAAGAATATAAGTATATATATATATAAATAAATAAACAAATATATCATAGGCCATAACGTCTCGATAAATACAGTACGATGCTACGTGCTGACGTAACTTGACATCTGATTTCAACAGATACCCCTTCTGGACATCTGCGGGGTCTAATGATAGTTTCGGACCCCTTTATGTCATAAACAGCACGATCTAATAGCTTTCATCGGAATAATTGAGTGTGTCATATTATAGTTATTTTCCACTATAATAAAAACACTATGAGTAATATTATAGGCCAGACAAACAAGGCGCTGCCGGGCTTACCTCTACCAGAGGGCATCGTGGAGGACTACATCGACTGCTCTACATCGTGCGGTCTTAAATGGCATATCCTTAGGGCCGGTGAGCCCGGGAAACCTCTCGTGCTTTTCTGCCACGGATACCCGGAGCTCGCATACTCATGGCGCAAAGTGTTGCCCGCAATCGCTAAAGCGGGATATTACTGCGTCGCCATGGACCAACGCGGTTACGGGCGAACCACGGGGTGGCCGCAAAAGCAACCCTTCGCGGCAGTCGACCTTAATGACTTCGTCTTTACGAACCTAGTGCGCGATCTGGTGTGTCTAGTGTACGGGCTGGGGTATAAAACGGTACACAGCATCATCGGCCACGACTTCGGCGGCGTGAGCTCTGCCATGGCCGCACTTATGCGTCCAGACATGTTTCTATCCACCATACAAATGAGCCATCCGTACCACCGGCCCGCAGAACCTATCCCTCCTCAAGAAAAGGGGGAAGTAAAGAAGGTAGACATCCAGGCCGAGCTAGCGAAGCTTGACCCGCCTCGAAAGCACTACAAGTGGTACAACTCGAGCCCGCACGCCGCCCAGGACTGGGAGAATCCATCGCAGGGCCTCGAGGCATTCCTCCGCGGGTATTTTCACCTGAAGTCGGCGGACTGGGATGCCAATGAACCGCAGCCCCTGACGAAATGGGGCGCTCAGGAACTAGCACCCATGCCCGAGTATTATATCATGCGAGCAGAGCACTCGATGCCCGAGACAGTGGCTTCTAACATGACAGGCGAAGACTATTCTAAGACGGAGCGGTGGCTCTCGCGAGAGGATCTGCAGGTATATTGCCGCGAGTGGGTGCGTACAGGCTTCCAGGGTGCGCTGAACTGGTACCGGGCGCAGACGGCATCGACGAAGCAGTCGGCGCGAGACATACTCCTATTTTCAGGGCGCAGAATTGAGGTCCCGTGTGTTTTTATTAGTGGGAAGCAGGACTGGGGCAATTACCAGCAGCCGGGTGCGCTTGAGGGGTATGAGGACCCGAAGGCTGTTAAGGAGGGTTGTTATAGGGGTGCAAAGCTTGTAGATGGTGCTGGGCATTGGGTACAACAGGAACAACCTGAGGTTGTGATCAAGGAGATTTTGGCATTCTTTGAAACGATATAATACCTGTTAGCAGTGAGCAATCTATTTGATAAAAAGTTCTCGTTTGCGTATTGTTTGTTTATCGGGGGCATTCGTACGAATAGAAACTCAAGGGGCCATCCACAGCGCATGAGGCAAGAATAATATCGGTATAAATTTATGGAAGTAATACACCCAGGTCTTAAAGCCCTTATGTTATCATTCAAAATAGAATAATTTAGATGTAAGCCAAGATACAAGATGATGGATGGTGGTAATGATAAAGATAAGGGGCCAGACAAGAATGATAATGAAAAATCAAAACAAAAAAAAAGGAACACACCACACCCCGGACTCGAACCGGGAATCTTCGGCTTATTTGGATCCTACACAATAGGAGGCCGACGAGTTAACCATTTCTCTAGTGCAGCTGTGAAAGCCAAGTATGCTTACCACTTGACTATTGCAGTGGTGATAGCAGCAGCTGTCACTATCGAGTTATATTAGGTAGGTACCTACCATGATCATACCAGGTAGCGTTAAGGGAGGTAACACGTCATTAAACCAGGGACGAGAAGCTAGGTACTTACGTACAGGTAGAAACGACAACAGGCAGCAACGACGAGCTACATACCTACGAGGCGATGAAGGGACGGAAGTGCCAGGTCACATCCCTACACGACAGAAAATATCTAGGGGGTACCTGCCTATCTGCACCTACCCGCACACAACTGCTCCACCTGGCTGGGCCTGCTTCCAATGGGACGCCCTTGCTGGACATCAGCTTGATTTCGAAACGTCCGATCAAATATATCTGATTCCCCCCAAAAGCAAACGGTAGCGGCAGCCGTAGCCGTGGCCGTGGCCGTGGCACCTTCTCCGTGTGCTAGGTCCAAGCTTTCGCACTATATGCAAAGTGCTTTTGTGAATTTGTTCACTTGGACTAACGGCTGGTGATATGTGATAAGTAATATGAGGTAGCTATGTTCATAGTAACTAATACCTATCATCGCAGGTTTTGGTCTAATTTCTCAGAATTGAACAAACATCCCTCCGCAAAGGTATAGTGCCTAAGCTATAAAACTCGCATTAGGTGGGAAAAGCGGTATTCGCAAACGATGCTAGCTTAGTATTTATATTATTCTAGTTTTAATAATCTTCTAATCCCTCGAGAAGATACCAAGGCCTAAGTAAACTTCTTATAACTAGATTTAGGTTAACTATTACCTGTTAGCTGTTGGCTGTTAGTGAATCCCGTCCTATCCGTGACTATTACGGTTAAGTTAATTATATTAAAACATTATTCAAAGAATTAAACTAAACTAGTTAGCCAATAGCAGGGTTTTCTGGCATGCTATAAGTGGCCACGGTGTGTTATAATACGAAAAGAAAAAGTTAATCGGCAATTAGGGAGTCCAAGTATAGCTTGGAAATAAAACCACTCTATTCGGGTTTTACTTATCTTAAGTACATTACGTACCTACGTAGGTAAGTGCGAACCCATATCTGTCGATTGATTATTCATTCTAATGGTTTTATATTCATGTCTACCCAGGAGGTTTGTCTAACTAGATCGCCAAAGTGTCTGCTGACCCGTACGGAGCTGGGACCCTATCCAAGATCTGGAATAGAAACCATATTCAATAAAGATGTTCCGTCTTGAAACACGGCCCGTACGTATCGAGTAGGCCGTGGACTCGCCAAGAACAACTTAATTGGCGAACCAGTGCCCTGTTCTTCATATTCAGCCAACTCCAGGATAGAAACCAATATCTCCTCTATGCTATCCTTGTACTGCTCTCTTTCGTACAACCCAATACCGTCTATCATACGGAAGACCGTAGTGGTCGAAGGTAATTTTCTTATAAGATATCCGAACAACTTGCAAAGCTCTTGAATATTTCACTTTCTCACTTCGTGTATAGACGCATGCTGGGTCAAGCCACTTGGATAGAAAGGGTATTATTGTAAGAGTTGGCCAATCAGACTGCGAATCATGGCCGGTGGACCTGGGTCTTCGTTGTATATACGTAAACTTTGACAGAAAACGATTCAGGCCGGTGTCCATGTCTTTTAATATCTCCCGGTACAAAGGAGAAAATCTGGTGAAATCTCTACCAGTATACCCTCTCCATTACAGCGAAAACAAAGATGTCCCCAGCTAGCTTATTGATCGGGGTCGGATGCTATTGTTGTGAGTAATTCAAAGAGTCGCTTTCTACTCTGTTAGGCAGCTTTTCAACTTGAAGGAGCCGGATGCCGGAAGCCAGGTACATATCTGGAACAGCCTAATCAAGAAACTAAGAAACCAAAATAATCACCGGCATCAACTGCGAGCGAGAATGAGAATACAACTATGTGCCAAGCAGATTGCTGCAGAGGCGAAGTGGTTTACAACGATTCCTACGTGGACCAGAAACTTACAGAGGCTCTTGTCCAGAACTTACTTCCACAACAAGCACCAGTACAACCTTCTCTTATTATTTACCCACGGCCCTGGCAAGAGAAGGTTAGTTCTGGATATACTGTCGCTGAGGACGAGCTTCTTACGATGACGTATCGTGTCTTTGGCTTCGTGCTAAGGAATCGTAAATAGGGTGAGGAGGAAGTTTTCACTTGCTAGTAGGTGGGGTCGTATTCTTCTTTTAGGTGAAACAGATGCATCCCTCGCACAGCGTGAACATAAAGATCTTACCCGGAATGTTCTAGTAGCCAGTGACATGACTCTTATAAGCAAGCCTAGACCCACATGTTAATAGTTGCTAGTTTCCCTTCGAATCTTGGAATACTATACTGGTGTTCTATTCCTCACCACGAATCGTATCGGCGACTTCGGCGAGGCATTTGCTTCACGTAGGTATCCATATAAATCTGCATTTTCCGGCCCCTTGACGAGTATAAAACCGAAAAAGTCTTCGCCCTCAACCTAAATCTTATCAAGGACAGGTTCAATCTCCAGGGTTAAGATCTCACCGTCGACGATGAGGCTATATTTGAGTTTACTACTCAACCCAACAGACTACCATACAGAGCCACTGTGTTGTAAGTGCTTCTCCATACCCTCTTCTTCTCGCCCAATACCTTTATGCAGATGCTAACCAAGTCAGCAGTCCTTTATTTTGGCACCTTAACTAGCACGAATCAACCAATCTCATTCGCCTCAAATATAAATGTCGCAGATATTATTTTCCCTGTTCGAGAACTAGGACCCGTTTCTTCTGTACACGCGCAAGCTAAACCGTAATGAACAGATCACGGGCAATCACGCCAGCCAGAACCAACCCGATATCTCCTCTCAACCGCTGTATCTAGTCTGATTTCACGATGAACAGAGCCCAACCCTAATCCGACTTCAACAATCGCATCACAATGGGGGCGATATTTATTTTTTCTTGGTAGTTATTCCTCATTCGTATCATTAATAAACCTTAGGTAGGTACCTAGGTAGTTACCTATATCATCAAGCCTCATTTCCTATCGTACAAATCCGCTCTTATTATAAACCGTATTCCTCTCTGCAAACCATGTACGGCAAAATGACGTGCCAAATAAACAAACAAATACCTATATCACAGGAATTAGATAGGTTGGGTACCTATCTAACCTAGGTACTTAGGTAAGGTAGGTAGATATCCTACCAAGCGATGCCCAGGGGCCCGCGGTTCGGCGGAGGGAAGCTCTTCTCCGCCACAAGGCCCACGCCGCGCCTTATGTTAGGAGCCGAGGGGCAGTCGCGGAAGGGCTTACAGTCGGGCTGGCAGACCGTACCCTCGGGCGGCAGCTCCCCGGTTTCGAAGTACTTCTTGACGTAGTCCTCGCGGCACTTTCCAGGCGAGAACAACGTGGCGTGGCCGGGGCTCTCCTGCAACAGGACACGCGCGCCGGCGTGCTCCTTCGCCATGGCGATGGCGTTGGCGTAAGGAGTCACCGGGTCATACCGGCTAGATACAAATAAGATCGGGGCCTTGGGCTTGCCGGGAGCGCCACTTGGATCCGCGGCAGGAGAGGTGAATGGCCCTGTGAAGCGGTACTTGGGGCGTACGCGCCAGCCCCTGCAAGCGAGGCGGAGCTGGGCCCAGGCCGGGCCGAAATCAGGAGATTGCTCTTGGATGTCGGTGAGGTAGGACTGGAACTCGGAGATGGTCATGCCATTTGCCGACTCCGCGTCTCCGCATCCGACAGCGATCTCTGCATCCTGTGTCCAAGTGTACGTCTTGGGGATAGTCGTGGGGCAGTACTCGGCTGATTGCGGAGTGCCGAGGCTGGCATATACAGTACTAAAGTCGCCTTCCATCCCTTTGGCTACGACATCGGCAGCTCGCGGGAAGTACTCCTGGGGCTGGTACAGAGCCTGAAAGATGATGGCGGTGACGTCGGCCCGGGTGATCGCTTCGATACTGCTGTTTGTCACGATCTGAGCCGGGGACTCGTCGAGTTGCTCTAGGAAAGCATCGACGCGGGCGCGGATATCGCTGGGACCCGAATCATCTGGCTTGTGAAGGGCGCAATTAGAACCGGCTTCGAAGCAATTGATGAAAAGCTGGTCGTAGTCCTCCTGAGTGTCTTGAAGGTTCTTGGCCCATGTCTATATATATAAGTTAGCTTTGTATAGGTACCGTAGGGATGGCTACCTTGTGAGAGTATGACGCTTACAGCTGTGTTGTAATCATAAATATCCACGACGCCTTCGAGAATCATGCGATCGACACGGCCAGGGAACATGGAAGCGAAATAGTTTCCAAGAACCGTACCGTAAGAGAAGCCCCAGTACTGGATACGAGGGAGATCTTTCTCCTGGCGCGGTTGCGTTCGTCGCGGGCCCCCGCGCGTGCGCAACTTAGCGCTAGAAGTACCGTTACTACTACGTAGCTCATCGATCTTGTCTACAATTTGGACCATGTCTCGCGCAACGCTAGCCGTAGACATAAACCCATGTATCTTTTCGCCCTCGCACAGACTCCCATATGCACCGAGTAGAGCGGCCTGGCGTCTAACGGCGCTTGCGCCACCGCTCAAGGGGCCTATCCCACGAAGCGAGAGCGAGGTGACATCTCGAGCTAGCTCGTCATTGTAACAGTCCGCCTTGGGCTCCGTGTATCCAACGCCACGAGGGTCGAAGGACAGGATCTCATAGTGCTTGTTACCGTCAGTAACACCCTGGAGAAGCTCGGCAGCTTCGAGCACAAAATCTACACCGGATCCGCCAGGACCCCCGGGGTTGACGATGATGGTACCACCAAAGGAGGGATCGTCCTCGGGGACCGTAGCCGGAAGCGCAATAACGGCCAAGGAGACCTCGGTCGCATTGTGAGTCGAGTTGCCAAGCCAATCCATAGGAACTCCTAGCTTAGCACATTTGAAAGAACCATAGCATTCAGAATACTCTAGTGATGTGGAGGGCCTGAGCTTGGTCCAGTCAAAGCTCGAAGTG